AGTATATATTATATCTCAAAGTATAAAGTAAATGTCCATGTGTCTATATTGAGATATATAAATGATTGGATGAATAAATAAGTGGGAGAAAATAGATAAATCTCCCATTTAGAAGAATTTCAATAATTTATGTAGATACTCCACCTTCAAGAAAAGGAAGTCAACCTTTCCACTTCTTAAGTGGTCTGCTCATAGTGACTTAATTCCAAAGAGTATGGTATGGAAAGGGGTCGGGGGCATAGTTTTACAGTGGAGAAACCTGACAAACACAACCTCAACCAGCCTCAACAGTGATGTCATGTTGATAGTAGGTGCCCTTGATAGAATGCAATGAGAATGGCACTTTACCTCTGTGATCTGCCTCCCCAAAACCAATTACCCCAGCAATCATGAGAAAAACGTCAAATTCCAGTAGAGAGACTTCCTACAACATACCTGACCAGTGCTTCTCAAAGCAGCCAAGATCATTCAAATCCAGCAAAGTCTGAGAAACTCACAGCCCGAAAGGGGCCTATGTGAACAGAACAGTTAAAGGTGATATAGTATGGATGGGATTCTTAAACAAAAAAAGGGTATTAGGTTAAAAACTAAGGAAACCTGACTAAAGTATGGGCCTTAGTTAATGATGATGTATGGATATCAGGTTATTAATTGTAATAAATATACCATGTAATGTAAAATGTTAATAATGGAGGAAACTGGGTATCGGATAGTATATAGGAACTCTGGACTATTGTCTGCGTTTTTTATAAATTTGAAACTATTTTTAAAAAATAGATTACTTTTTAAAGAGTATGTATAATAAATACATTGAATAATATTTTAAAAGTAAATTTAAAATTCAGGTGTTTGCTCCCTGTTCCCTAGTGCTTAACCATAAGCCCAGAATCATAGCCTAAGCATCCTTTGTTTTAAGCTCCACAGGTGGTTCTGATGTGTGGCCAGAATTAAGACATTGTTTAGAGATCCACTCCTGCTTGAAAACCTATTTTCTGAATTTTTTAAAATCAGGAACAGTAAATCCTTGTATATTCAATTCATTAACAATTTGGTTTTTTTTGTTCTGTATAATTCTTCATCATAATGAATGTGTGCTAATGGTGTATTGCTTTTTAGGTGTTTATCTTTAATATACCCATGTCTCAAGACTTCTCATGTTTTTAGTTCAGACTCATATAATTTCTAAATACCCTACCAAACATACCTATAGATATAGTCACGAATAGCAGAAATCTTTTTCACAGGCTGATTATTATAGTTTTTTCCCTTACAAACTGATTTGTCTGTCATACAAATGAGTATAGTATGAAAACATGTGTTGACCTGGAAAATGACTTTATTCTTTATCATTACCAACAGCTTTTTAGCCTCTAATATACATATGTCTATTTTAATTAAGTATTTTATAATATCTCACTATACCTGCTTTTAAGGCTCATAATAGCAGCTTCATATTGATATTATTCATTAGGTCATGTGCTTAAGAAGGTTATTTGGTCAAAACATTATTGATGATTTGTCAAAACAGTATTGATGAGCCATCTGATTTCTCAAAGATAGTTTCTGGAGAGAAATTTCCTTGTCTCTTTCCATTAACTTACTATATAATTCAGACTCTGCTACTTCTTTTCTGACTGTTAGTGTCACACTTTCTTCAGTATCTTGCTTGCTGTCCTCTTTTGTTCCAGTTCCTCTACACAGTGCTGTCAGTGTTCTCTTTTTAAAATACAGGTTTAATCATGTCCCTGCCTTGCTCTGAGACTCTATGTCTCTTGTCCCTCTTAGGTATACACTAGTAATATAAACCACTGCTATTTATGGGTCACAGTGCTGAGAGTTTTACAGCCATCAAGTAATTTCATTTTGATAAGAACCCTTTAAAGCCAGCCTATAACTCCTATTATTCTCCATTTTATAAACAAGAAACTGATTTAGAAAGGTTGAACAAGTTTTCTAAGGTGCTATGGTTAGTAGGTGGCCAAGTTTGAGCATACTAACAGGTGTCTCTGTTACTATGGCGCCAGTAGGGCTCCCTGTGCTTTTCTACCCAGCTTTCTCCCATCTCATTCTTTAGTCTCAATGCTTGTTCCATTTACCTTGTAACTTCTCATTGATGACACTTGGCCAATGGAAACCCTGCTTCTCTTTTTTAGTTTTGCTCAAATATACTAGATTCCTCTACTCCACCTTCCCAGTTAACATTTTTTATTCCTCCTTCTATAATTTTGTTTATATTTTAATTTTGTCATTTGCCTTATACTGTATATATTTGTTTTTATTTCTAGCTTCCTACTAGATTGTAAGTTCCTGGAAGATAAGGACTGTTCTGTCTTTACAAACTGTGAGGCCAGTATCTTGCACTTAACCAGACATGCAAGAAATATGCTTTTTTGAAATTAGTTATATTCATACAAATAGTAGAGTTTGTGACACAGTCTCACTCTGTCACCAGGCTGTAGTGCAGTGGCACAATCTCAGTTCACGGCAACCTCTGTTTCCCAGATTCAAGTGCTTCTCCTGCCTCAGCCTCTCAAGTAGCTGGGACTACAGGTATACACCACCATACCTGGCTAACTTTTGTATTTTTATTAGAGATGGGTTTTCGCCGTGTTGGCCAGGCTGGTCTCAAACTCCTGACCTCAAGTGTCTGCCCGCCTTGACCTTACAAAATGCTGGGATTACAGGCGTAAGCCGCTGCATCTGGTCTTAGAGGTTTTTTTGGTTTGTTTTTTGAGACAAAGTCTCTCTGTCACCAGGCTGGAGTGCAGTGGCGCAATCTTGGCTCACTGCAACATCCACCTCATGGCAACCTCCGTTTCCTAGATTCAGTGATTCTCCTGCCTCAGCCTCCTGAGTAGCTGGGACTACAGGTGCACGCCACCACGCCCAGCTAATTTTTATATTTTTAGTAGAGACAGGGTTTTATCATGTTGGCCAGGATGGTCTCGATCTCTTGAACTGGTGATCCGCCGCCTCAGCCTCCCAAGGTGCTGGGATTACAGGCGTGGGCCACCACGCCTGGTTACTTTTATATTTTTAATTGAGAATTCTTATACTAATGTTAGATACATATTAAAACATACTCTGAGATTTTACAGATACTATTGGTTGCTCAAAAGGGGAATTAGTATTACAAAAAATTCTAAATATTTCTGTATTTTCCAATTATTTACCCTGGTTAAAAAGACTATAAACTTGTAACTTTCTAATTAATAATTGTTTTTAATTTTTTTAAATTTAACTTTAAAAAAAGATTTGAGAGGCCAGGTATGGTGGCCTCTAATCCCAACACTTTGGGAGGCTGAGGTGGGGGAATTACTTGAGTCTAGAAGATCAGCACCAGCCTGGGCAACACAGTGAGACTGCTATCTCTACAAAACATAAAAAGTTAGCTGGCAGTGGTGGCATGCATCTGTGGTCCCAGCTACTTGGGAGGCTGAGGTGGGAGGATCACTTGAGCCTGGGAGTTTGAGACTGCAGTGATGAACTGTGGTCACACCACGCTACTTATCCTGGGTGACAGAACAAGACCCTGTCTCAAAAAAAAGTTTTGAGAACTCTTTAGAAATATATATAGGAGTTTTCTGATGAGAAAATTAAGGTCAGAAAATGAGATGAAGCTGAGTATTTGCACCTAAAACATATTCCATAAGATCCAAGACTGATGCTAAATTTGGCTGTGCTTTTTCCACTGGACAAAGTAAATGAGAAAACATGTTAAGTTACATGAGCAAATTGTACATGTTATAAAATCAACCAGATAAAGTTATTTTATGGGTCTTCACAAAGAAGGGCTATAATATGAAATAGGTGAACCATATTTTCAGCAGCATCTCTGTGACAAATGCATTTAGTTTAGTGAGACTGATTTAAACCATTTGATGCAGGCAGGCAACATGCTGTATCATTTATTAAAGGATATTCTATGAGAAGCCAAAATAAGTCAGTGAACATTTATAATTCTGAGATCTACTGAAGAATTTTGAAATATCTAGAACACCCAAGGCGCTGGTGATTTAGAAGATGGTCTCAATTTTTAAAAAATTATTTAAAAATTAAATATTGTTATTTTGTAAGGCAAGTATTCAAAATTCTCTCTTAAATAACTTCACTCTGTTAACTGTAGAAAATTTCAGACACATACCTTCATACTTTAGTACCTGGAATACTAATCCCCAAAGTGTTTCGGCACTGTAGTCACAAAATGTAGAAGCTTTGAAATAATATACATAGGGCATGTGTGAACAAATCTGCAAGTGTCCGGCTCTGGCCAAAGGTTTTTTTTTTTTTTTTTTTTTTTTTTAAAGAAAAAGCAGTGTAACGAAACATGTATTCATAATTACAATGAGAAGACTTAAAGACTATGTTAGATAAATGCTAGAGGATATAGGTACATTAGGCAAAAATGTTGGAATTAGTTCTCATAACCGGAGTTTGAGAATTATTGGTCTTCTGTTAGTGTTGTTGAATAGAATTTACCAGGATGATAAAAGTGGTGTATATCTGTGATACTTGGTATAGTACCCAAGGTGGCAGTTGAGTGCTTATACTTTAGTTTGAGGGACTAAATTTTCAATTTTATATAATTTTATTATTTGAAATTTAAATAACTGCATGTGGCTAGTAACTAACCATATAATGGACAGTACAGTTCTGGAGAATGGGAAAGACTGCTTATCTTTCAGGCTAAGAGTAGAGTAGCAGTAAGTTTAAGATTATATTCTCCATCAGTAACTAAATATAGAAATCCTGCATTTGTAAGAGACATGTGTTTTAAAATCATCAGTGATTGTTTATTTGAAAGTTTACATTTCTATTTTTCTTGAACTTTAAAATTAACCAGGATGCTTGAGTATGTGGTTCACCTTTTAGGTATCAGTAGAGTTGTTAAGAAATGTTAGGTTAAAACATTATGTTTTAAATTCTTTGATAAAATTGAAACATTTACTTATAAAAATAGAAAGCAGTGGTTATACTGATACAGGACTATTATCCCACAGTTTCCAGAGTGTGGATTCTTTGGCATGTATGACAAAATTCTTCTTTTTCGCCATGATATGAACTCAGAAAATATTTTGCAGCTGATTACCTCAGCAGATGAAATACATGAAGGAGATCTAGTGGAAGTTGTTCTTTCAGGTAAGTAATGGCTTTTTTTTTATTGCCTTTTCCTCCAAAGAGCCTACTTTTCTGTACTAAGTACTGCATTCTGTTATATTTGGTCTTTGTAATATTGTTAACTTCTTTCATCTCTAATAATAGTTATTATATGATTTTTCCTTTCTGGAATCTTATATCACCATTAAGAAAGAAAAATGGGAACAGTGCCTCACACCTGCACTTTGGGAGGCTGAGGCGGGAGGATTGTTTATACTCAGGAGCTTGAGACCAGCCTGAGGAGCTTAGCAATACCTTGTTTCTATTAAATAAATAAATAAATTAGCCGGGTGTGGTCACATGCAACTGTAGTCTTAGCTACTTGGGAGGATGAGGTGGGAGGATCGCTGAGCTTGGGAGGTTGAGACTGCAGTGGGCATTGATCACACGGCTGCACTTCCATCTGGGCAAGAGAGTGAGACTCGTCTCTTTAAAAAAGAAAGAAAGAAAGAAAAAGAAAAATCAGGAAAGGAAAATCTGTAAATTACTTGAATGTTACTAAGCTAAGGGAATTGTTTGGTCTGAAAGAAATACACTCTTCTCTGAAAGAAACAAACTCTTCTCTGAGTCAAAGAAATTAAACCATTACACTGAAATTGTTTCTTTTCTCCCCATTTCTGTAAAGAGCATAAAAGAAGAAAATTGGGGTTTAGAAAACAGAATCAGGGAAAAAAGAAGTAATGAAGATATGGAAGAGGAAATTACCATGCTGGTTATTTCTGTGGCTTTAAAAGAAAATGCTCTTTCCCTTTTTGTCCCAGTGGGCTTTTTTCTACCTTTCTCTTTTTCCCACCTTACCCATTCTTGCCATACTTTGTTTCTTAATTCCCACTATTTGTCATCTCATCCAGCAACAATGTGGGCAAGATAGGAGTGAAAAGCAAGAAAGAATGCTGTAATAATGCACATAGTGGGTCTGAAGTACTTCTTGTTTGGCAAGTAGGAGAACTGATGGAAGAAAGGAAGCAAGCTGGCCAGTCATGAGTCAGAACCCTGCTACCAGTTTTCCCTTTTCTCAAACTCAACTTTGAGCCTGTTCTTGAGATCCTCTCTCCTTATCAGTTTCCACTCCTCTCATCTTATATTTCTGATTCTCATTCATCTCACTCCCGCTATATTGATCATTCATCTTCTGTACAGCAACCCCAAACCATCTCTGTATTTCCCAATCCTTGCCTTCCTCTTCATTCCTGATGAGTTTCACTCCCTGTCTTACCTGGAAGTCCTGCTCATATCTCTTCCTTCGCTACTCAGAACTCCATCAGACTACAGAGTATCTACTAATGACTTGCAGGTTGAGGTGAGAGGAAGTTCCTTGGGTCTACTGTCCTGATATTCACTGAGGGGAAAGGAGTTTCTTTCTCTTATCCACTAGGACCCTGGAGAACAAACAGACAAGTATATCCTGAGATCCTAAGTTAGGACTCAGTATCTTTTTCCACAGAAACGTTGCTGTAAATTGAAGTTAAGTTCCACAGTACTTTTTACTTTAGTGTTCTGTTTCCCACTGTGTGTAAGTGAAGCAGTTTTCAGTTGGCCAAAGTAGACCTAACATCTATTTGCAATCTTGTCATCACGAGAAAATGGTGTTGGAGTTCCAAAGAGCTAACCTACTACCTATTTCAGGAGCTCAAATGATTAGAAGCAAATGGACTTCCTAGAGTTTGAAATCACAACATTAAATGCTGAAAATAATTTACTTTTATGGTCCAATGAAACTTTCAGAGAAAAAATGATTCTGTGTACTTTGACATAAACAAATGTGTGAGCTTTCTTAATCTCATGGCAGTTATAAATACAAGATATATTTTAATACTTTTCTTTTTTAAAGCTTTGGCCACAGTAGAAGACTTCCAGATTCGTCCACATACTCTCTATGTACATTCTTACAAAGCTCCTACTTTCTGTGATTATTGTGGTGAGATGCTCTGGGGATTGGTACGGCAGGGACTTAAATGTGAAGGTATGTGTTCTAAAATTTTTGTGGTCATTTGAAATAAGATTCCACATTTGCATTCTTTTACTATCAGTGAAAAAACAAGATGATGAACTGTTGGCTAGGGTAGGAACGAGGATTTAGAATTGGAGAGATCAAGACTCTGGTTCTAGCTCTGCCACCTACTCCTTCATATTCTTAGACAAATTACTAAACCTCTTAAGATTAATTTCTTGGTAAAATACATTCTGCCCCACTGGTTTCGTAAAGAGTAAATGGTTAAATAAGGTAATGGGGTTAAATATTTAGTACAAACTAGTGGCTCCATAAATACTCATGTCAGTTTTTGTTTTTAAAAAGTTGTCTCTTACAACTAAATTGTCAAATTTGTTCTGAATTAGAATTGCTAGGAATAGGACACAGGTACACATTTCTGATGAAGAAACAGTTTTCTAAGGTGGAGGATCAATAAAGTTTTTCTGTAAAGGGCCAGGGAGTAAATATTTTAGACTTTGTTGGTCTCATGGTCTCTGTCTTGATTTAACTCTGCTGTTACAGTATGAAACCAGTCACAGACAATATGTAAACAAATAGATCAGCTGTGTTCCAACAAAACTTGATTTAGAAACACCGAAATTTAAGTTTCATAAAATTTTCATGTCACAGGAGAAATTTGGTACAGAGGCCATAGTTTGCTAACCAGTGCTTTAAGCCTGTGGTTCTCAAACTGTATTGTGCGTTATAAAACACACTTTACTGGGCCTCATCCTCATAGTTTCTAACTCTAGATCTGGGGCAGAGCTTTATAATTTACGTTTCTAACAAATTTCCAGGTTACCTTAGGCACCACACCTTAAGAACCGCTGCTCTAGGTGACATATCCTTTTTATACATTTGTTTTTCTTCTTTAATTCATCCACTTAGCCTGCCATCTGGGTTCTTAATTATGGTAGGTATGGCTAACAGAGAAAATATGTTAAATAAAAGAAGCAGTGGTCTTTATGTGTCATACTTAAATAGTAAAGTTTTTTTTTTAATCTTATATTTTACCTTGTAAAATATGTTTAGGCTGTGGATTAAATTATCATAAACGATGTGCCTTCAAGATTCCAAATAACTGTAGTGGAGTAAGAAAGAGACGTCTGTCAAATGTATCTTTGCCAGGACCCGGCCTCTCGGTTCCAAGACCCCTACAGCCTGAATATGTAGCCCTTCCCAATGAAGAGGTACGTATTCTAAGGTAATAGACATTTTACTAGTTATTCTCTGTTTCTGCAGGGTGTATGACATCACTCTAGAACATAATTTACATGCTAAAGAATGGTAATGCTCCTACACTTAAGAAACATAAAATGTAGTAATGGAGACAGAACTTACCAATAGTAACAAATTGCATTTTGCACACCTTGGGATTGTATTATGGCTTGTACCACTGCATTAGCCACCTAGCCAGACCTAGCCTGACTCCTGGTCTCCATGCTTTACTTCATCTTATACATGACAGCCAGATCAAGTTTTCTGTTACACAGCTTTTGATTATGTAACTCCCCACCAGGAAACCTTTATATATTCTATGTTTCTTACAATCTGAACTATTTGGGACTCTCTGAACACACCATCCTTCTTCCCTTACCTTTGCTCTTAATGTCCCTTCTACATGGATTTTCTAAACCTAGCTTGAAAGCTACCTTTCCTGATTTTCACCTCACCTAGATACTATTTTAATTTCTGAATGCCATCACTTTTCCCTAATTTTATGTATAACATTGAACCTAATATCACGGTGTTTGTATACTGGATTGTCCTTAAGGTATTTATGATCTGTTTAGAGAAGACAGCATTTATGTCTTTAATTATCCCATCGTGTTCAGTATAATACCTGGTACTTAGTAGGTACTCAGTAAAGAATGAATGATTGAGTGAATGACTCTACTGATCCTCAGAATATGAAGTGTATCCACAGATCTGTAGACAGATAAGACAGGTGAGACACAGAGCAGTTAAGCAACTTGTCTGAAGTCACAGAGCAAATTAATAAGAGATAGTGGAATTAAACCCAGATGTCATTATTTATAAATCAATGATTTTTTCCTAATACAGTGTATACCTCTCAAGGATAAAGGCAGTAGATCCAGAAAGAAGGAAATAACTCCCTTGTACATTTGATGGTATTTGAAATGACTTCCATTCATAGATTGTAATCTTATTATTTAGTTGTTCCTGTAACTTCTCTGGTCTTCTGTAAATTAGTGGCAGAATCAAGGCCTTGTCGTTGTACCTTAGTCATAATATTTTGCTAAGTTGAGACACCAGAGTAAAAGCTTTTGAAATCCTTTCACAAAAGTCCCATATTTTCCTATTGCTTAGCCCTAGTGTGAGATTTTTAAAGGAGAAAAAGAGTGCTGTGGCATAAAGTACTGAAAATGAGGGGTTGGTATAAACATACAGAAGAGCCTGGAAAGACTGGTAGGAAAAGGTTAGTGCATCTTAAACACTGAACTGCAGAGAACTTACTTAGGAATGAGGACAGTAGAATGGAGGTATGTTAAGAGCTAAGCAAATGATGCTGGTATGCCAACTATGCCAAGTTTAAGTATTACTAGATTAGGAAATAGCAGAAAGAGCAGGTGGATACGGTATTACATTTTTCATTAGTTTATATTTTAACTTGAACATGAGAAAACTCCTTAGGGAAGTATAAGAAGTACAGTTACATGTCTGAATTGGTTAGATTGTTTAGAGTATTTTAAAACAAAAAGAACTTGTAGCCTGGAAGGTCTTTCAAGGTTTACTTTTGTCAGTTCAGGCATAGCCTCAAAAAGAAGGAGGCAGAGTAAGAGAAGAGCCTATGGAGGAAAATTAGAAGGAAGGATGAGTGGAGTGGGAAGGAACAGAGGAGATACCAGTTAGGAAGAAAGAACCCTGATGCTCAACCAAGGTTAGAGAAGAACTAACTCTGAGTGGCTACACATTAAGAGCCTCATAAGGTATCACGTGTCAGACTTTTTGCTAGGTGCTTTCCTTTTCTCATATAATCCTCACCACAATCCTGGGGCGTATAGGGGCCATCCTGATTTTATAGTTAGGGAGAATAAGGGAGAAACGTTTCTAAGGAGTCAAGATAGTAAACTTCATTAAATAGTAAGATAAGCTTGAAAATAGACAAGTTGGAAGTAGAAACTTTTGAGTCTAAGGTTGTCTTTGTTTACTTGTAAGAAGTCAGTTTCTGTTATAAGGTCTGTTATGTCAGTCTAAAGCAGGAGTGTCCAATCTTTTGGCTTCCCTGGGCTACAGTGGAAGACAAAGAATTGTCATGGGCCATACATAAAATAAACTAACACTAATGATAGCTGACACCCTAAAAAAAAATCTCATAACATTTTAAGAAAGTTTACAAATTTGTGTTGGGCCACATTCAAAGCTGTCTTAGGCCACATGTGGGCCGCAGGTTGGACAAGTTTGGTATAAAGGGAATCCAGTAAAAAGGTGAAAGAACAGAAAAAGATTGTTCATTGAATTTGGTTAAAATGGGACCACTGAGATTCAAGAAACCAGAACTGAGTGCTGGCTGTTTGAAGGTGAAACAGACAAGTGTTCCCTTCAGAACATTTGGGAGAATTCCTTTGGGGTTAGGAAGAATAGAATCAAACTAGAAAGAAAATGTTGGATCTGAGTATGCATCTAAAAGTGGAGAATTTCACTAATACCTCAAAGCTGATTAAGTATATATAACTGAGGAATTACCCTTTTAAAAAATGTATTTTTATTCCCTTTATTATTATGTATAATTGAGAGTTGACCATATTGTTATAAGGTTTTTGTGAGCAATTACTTTGGCAAATTTTAGCTTAAACTTAAGCTGTGGAAATAATGAGATTACTTTTAGAAAACTTCTGGCCGTACATTAAGAAATAATAGTTGAAGCTAAGCACTAATTTGTATATAGGAGACATTAAAACAAGGTAAGAAAGAACTTCCACTCAGTTCTAATTACTCTAATCTCAGTGGTCTCATTTTAACCAAACCCTCTACATAATTGTACCAACATCCACCTCCGTCCAAATTCTAATTAAGTCTGCTATATCTTTCTTGCCGTCCTCACCCAATAGAGTGGCAAACCACTGTTACTGATGGGATTGCATTATGCACAGATACATTAAAATGGGAAAAGGGGGCCGGGTGTGGTGGCTCACGCCTGTAATCCCAGCACTCTGGGAAGCCAAGGTGAGCAGATCACCTGAGGTCAGGAGTTCGAGACCAGCCTGGCCAACATGGTAAAACACTGTCTCTACTAAAAATACAAAAAATTAGCTGGGCATGCTGGTGCACACCTGTAATCTCAGCTATTCAGGAGACTGAGGCAGGAGAATCACTTGAACGCAGGAGGTGGAGGTTGAAGTGAGCCAAGATCACACCACTGCACTCCAGCCTTTTGAGACTCTGTCTCAAAAAAAAAATTTGGGAAAAGGTTTAGAATCACTGGACTGTTATATAGGAGACCTAAGTTCATGTTGATTCTATTACTACCACTTGGGAGTATTAATCCTTTTGACTTTGTTTTTTTGGTTTTTTTTTTTTTTTTTTTTTTTTTTTCATATTTAAAATAGGGATAATAACTAACTACTTGTACTGGACATGACATATTAGGTGACTTTTACAACCATAGTCCCCTGAGTAGTTCATGGCACGCAGGCTCTGTACCATGTCCCTAATACCTGGATTCGAAAGGCTGTCACAAGCTGGCCATTGGCTTATTTTTTAGACAGTGTCTCACTCAATTGTCCAGGACAGTGGCGGGACCATAGCTCACTGCAGCCCTGACCTACTGGGATCAGGCAATCCTTCCACCTCAGCCTCCTGAGTAGTTGGGACTACAGGCATGCTCAACCACACTTGGCTAATTTTTTTTTTAATAGAGGGGATCGCACTATGTTGCCCAGGCTCATCTGGAACAGGCATGAGCCACTGTACTCAGCCTCCATTTGTGTTTTGAATTTGAGACAAACCAAAAGCACAGGAGCAAGAGAAGCAGTGTTGAGTCACCACTAGAACAAAGAGCCAAAGACCTAAAACATCTGTTTCTAGTTCCTGCTAGGTTCTTTATTACAATTTGCTTTGCAGAATCACTGTGGGGTTCTTTTTGCTGAAAGTGGTCCATACAAGGCAGCATGGAGGAAAAATAAGCCAGGCTAGAGCAGGACACCTTGGCCCGTTGAAGCACACAAGCATAGTTTGGGTTTCCCACACTCTCTTCATCTTTTCCTGAATTAAACTGCTTCAGAATCCATTTTAGAAAATATCTGCCCACACTCTCAGTCTGAGGCATTTTATGGCACTCTTCTCCCACTGGTTGTTTTGTCCTCTTCCTTTTCTTCCGTTTTTTTTTGTTGTTTGTTTTTTTTTTTTTTCTTCTTTTTCCTCCTCCCCTTCTCCCTTGTACTTCTCTGTCTCTTGGTTTCTTCTGACTTCTTTTGCTTCTTTTGGTTGAACATATTAATGTAGAATGACCCAACTTCTCTGAGTTACAAACATTACTAGTTATAGAAGGCATCTGAAAGATCTCAGGACCTCAGTTCTGGCAGTGAGAATGCAAGCAGGTACAGCCAAATCTGTTAATATAGATAGATGGTAGTTGAGTATTAGGATTTTGTGCTTGAGAATTTGGATTATGTTTTATTCAGTTTTGTGTCTCCAGTATGTAATAGGGTCTGGCATATAATAATCAGTGAATGTTTGTTGAATAGATGGAATTAGCCACACTGAAGTAGGGGATGTATAGTTTGATTATTCCCTTCTTATAGAAAGGGTCATAGTTACCAAAATCTACTTACCCCACAAAAATTTTTAATTCATGCCTTCTTTAATGTTGCTTTTTGTTCACCTGGTAGAAAAGCCCAAACAATTGGAAAATAAAGGAACTTCTTCTTAAAGCTGAATGACTGAAACTATTGTTGTTTTAATTAGTTTTGTATCTGCTGTTTTTTATCATTAAACTTAAAATTTATGTACATATTTTAGTATTAAGATAAATTTGAAACCTAAAATTTGTTTCAAAATATATTCAGATGTCACGTTCAGTAATGCTACATGAGCACCAATAATACTTTCTGAATTTATTTGTTTTAAAGTTTGGGGGTTTTTATCTGTAAAGTGCTGAAATGTGCCTGGCAAATAATAATCAGTGAATATGTACCTGAGAATGAACATATCTTAGATTTTTTTTTTAAGCATAAATATTAGCAAAAAGAATCTGCATTTTTATCATTCGAGGATTGGTAAATTAAATGCCGCAAAGGAAACTGAGAACAACATTTTTAGAGTTTTTTGGTTTTAGCATTCAAATAAATGACGCTTGTGGTTAAGCTCTGCTCCACCACTTTGTTTTTAATATTGACTTATACTTATGGAAATTACTTATATTTTAGTCACATGTGCACCAGGAACCAAGTAAGAGAATTCCTTCTTGGAGTGGTCGCCCAATCTGGATGGAAAAGATGGTAATGTGCAGAGTGAAAGTTCCACACACATTTGCTGTTCACTCTTATACCCGTCCCACGATATGTCAGTACTGCAAACGGTTACTGAAAGGCCTCTTTCGCCAAGGAATGCAGTGTAAAGGTGGGATTAGGTGTTTTCCTTAAGTAAAATTTGTGTCTGTTTTTGTTATTAAATACAGGTTTAAAATATTTACATTTCAGAAGCATTAGCCAAATAAATTATTCTCATTATTGCTAACTTACATAAAGGAAAGAGAAATATAAATAAAATACAAATGTGTATGTAAACTGCTACTACTACTACTACTGTCTGCAGTGTGTGTTGTTATGTGCCAGGCACTGTAGTAAAACAGTAAACAAAGCTTTACATACTCAGTCTTCAAAGCAATTATATGTGAATTATGCTTTCGTTAGTATATTAGTAGTAATAGGAGTTAGTTAATAGTAACAAGAGTAGTAGTAATAGGAGGTAGTAATAATAGGAGTCATTTTTCATTTTATAGACATGGATTATAACTTGCTTAAGATCAATGTAGCTAGTAAACAGAAAAACTAGAATGTGGATCTCTGAGGATGACTTCTTCACCTGTATGCTTATTATTTGCCAATACAAAACAACTAGTAGGCAGCAAAGCTGATACTTGAGGTTTTAAGTCTTTTTTATTCCAGAGCCAGACATTAAACAAAATAAAAATAACACTCTCCTCTTTTCATTATTTATTACACACATGCATAAGCATACTGCAAGAGTTTTGCTTTTTTTTGTTTTTAAGTATGTAGCTAGGAGAATTGTATAAAAACTGTCATTCCTGAGAATAATCACACTGAAATAGGTAGGACATAATGGAAGCTACTGAAATTATCATAGGGACTACCCTTATTGGGATACTAACCCAGCACACATAATATTCAAAACATCTCTTAATGAAACAAGTTTTTAATAGCATACTGGAATAATGATTTGCTTATACTTATACATCCTTTTATTATGCTTTTTAAAGGTGATTGTATCTTTTTGTCTCATATCTTCTCAGCAATGCTGTACAGTAGAAACTATGTTTTCACAGTAGAATGAAAACTAAAATAGAGATTATTAGTCTTAGATTATTAGTCATTGAGCAGGATATGATATAAGTAGTCTAATTTTAATCTTGTATTTTTTTTTCATGTGATTAGCAGTTCTTGGTATTGTACTTTTTATATAGTGGAAGTATTTGTGGAATTGAATTATCAGGTGATCTAAATAAAACATTAGGGTTGAGGGTTTTGTAACAGTATGTTCTTGCTTACAGCACAGAGTAAGATAATTGTGTATAAGCTTAAATATATAAGAAAATAAAGCTTGTCTTGACAGTGTATGACAGCATACAAGAACATCAAATGGGGAACAGGTTATACATTTGTTATCAGATATTTGATAACTATTAGGTATTACTACATGATGAAATTTTATTTCAACAGCTTGCTTTGAATATGAGTTACTACATAAATTAATACTTTAAAATATCAACATAAAAATGTATTGGCAAGCAGCCACTGAGAAATGTTTTGGAAAAGAACGTTAGTAACAGATGTAAAAATTCTAGTCAACAGATAATCTTAATAAAGGTAATCAATATTGCTGCTCTGCTAAGCAGAGCAGAAACATTTTTAAGCCATTTGCAGAAAAGTATAGTATTTATAGAGGAACTAAAATAAAGATGGGTAAATTTTTACATAAAGCCTGTTAATTCTGCTACTGGGTTATTCAACTTTTTAGGGTTCAAGAAGAATAATATTTTATGCTTATATTGGTTCAAAAAATGGTAGGTTTTATTTTAATTTAGCTAAGTTATTTCATTTATCAATAAAATAATTATAATTTAGTCATTTTCATATTTTAATAGAAATTAAGATACTTAAAAAATAAAAATTTTTTTGTCTAAGAATGAAAAATGATCTACTTAAGATAAAACTATTATACTGAATCATTTGAGAAAATATACAATTCCAAGAATTCATTCATTTTCTGTTTGTCTTTATTTTCTACTCGGATATATAAAAACTTCAAAGCAGCTTAAAAGCATATGTAAAATATAAGAGAGCATAAGCAAATTAATAAAAACATGGGTAAGGACATAGAGAACTAAAACTGCCTGCCTACCATTCAAACCTACATACTTGCTACAGGTAGTCCACAAATTTGGCTCTGAATTTTTTTTTTTTTTTTTTTTTTTTTTTTTTTTTTGACAGAGTCCCGTTTGTGTTGCCCAGGCTGGGGTGCAGTGGCACGATCTCAGTTCACTGCAACCTTCACTTCCTGGGTTCAAGTGATTCTCTGCCTCTGTCTACCTGGTACCTATAACTGCAGGCATGTGCCACCACACCCAGCTAATTTTTGTATTTTTTTTGTAGAAATGGGGTTTTGTCATGTTGGCTGGGCTGATCTCAAACTCCTGGCCTCAAATGATCTGCCCACTTCAGCCTCCCAAAGTGCTGGAATTAACAGACATGAGTTTCCCCACCCCCACTACCTGAGTTTTCAGAGAGAAGATGGAAAGTTTGTTGTTTTCACAGCTTGCAAAGTTCATGAGATAAAACACAAATCTGTTGTTTAAGAGATAGTGCAAAATATTAATATTATCACATGAGTTTTCCCTAGGGCCTATCTTAACAAGGATAGTGTTTTAAATAATGTAAATTTTATCATCTACCAAATTATAAATTTCATGGGGCTTTGTCATTTTATGATTTTTAGCCTGTGCTGTTGGCATGATACCCAGTATTTTCTTGATTTACAAGGGTTACAAAAACAGAAATTCTAAGTCAGGACTCAAAATTATTTTTACCCAGTTATTACTAATAGATGCATTTCAAAGGTGGTATTAGACATAGTTAGATCAGTGGATCTCAACTTTAGTACAAGTTACAGAGCTCAGCCCTACTACCCCACACCCCAAGAGTTGCTGATATAGTAGGTCTGGAGTAGGGCCCAAGAATTTGCATTTCTAACAAGTTGCCTGATGAAACTGATCTGGGACCACAGTTTGAGAACCACTGAGTTATACAGTAGTTTTGGACAGATTGTACTTTACACTGATCTGCAATGCTATCAACTCTGAGGTTTCTTTTAGACTGAAGGGAACCATTATGTACAAGTGGGAGGCCTTGTGCCGGAGAAACTGAGTTCTTCCTCACAAGGTTGTATGTAAAAACCTTTATTAGGTTCCTCATAAATGTTTGTTGGATCTCAGAGTCTTTCCTGCATATACATTAGGTCCTGATACTTAGAAATTGAAAGTGTGTATCTGACATATGTTAGATAGGAATTTAATCAGCTTGAGAAACTCTCCTGGGAGGTGTGGCAAGATGAATATGAGATAAGAGAAGGAAATATGGAGCTGCCAATACATTACGGCCGTGTTGTACACATGGTATTAGCCTCATTATACAAGTAAAGAAATCGCAGGGGGTTGCAGGGAGGTGCTAAAAGTGATTGGTAGGTGGTAATAATTATTATTTTAACATCATTACTACTAATAATAATTTATTTGTGAGTGGTTTAAAGAAAGTCTAACCATATCTGATACTGCTTGACTTTTACATAAATTAATACACTGAATATTTTCATTTTAGATTGTAAATTCAACTGCCATAAACGCTGTGCATCAAAAGTACCAAGAGACTGCCTTGGAGAGGTTACTTTCAATGGAGGTACAATTCTTTTTCTTAATTTATGTAAAAGAGCAGAAAAGGTCATGATTCTTTCATGTATTATCTTCAGATAAAGTTCAACTTTCATAATTTATTTTGTTTCTTAAAGACTTTCTTCTGATTTAATAATCAAGCAAAATACAGAGCCCACTGACGGTATACATTTATTAGTAATCATGCCTTCCTCTCTTTCCTCTACCCACTGTTACTTTGTAGTCTAATACAGCCAGTGGTACTGCATATCCTCTTTCACTTTAGACATAAAAGAACTTGTTTTAAAACCCTGCTGTTGCCTCTGTTCTTTCATAGTTCTAATATTTACTAACTGCTTGCTATACCAGGCACTGTTCTAAACTCTAAATATATTGACAGTTCAACCTAAGAACAACCCTTTGAGGTAGGTGCTAAGAGATGAGTAAACTGAGGCATAAATACGTGAAATAACTTGCCCAAGAAATACAGTCAATAGGTGGCAGAGCTGGAAGTTAAACCCATATGGTTTGGTTCCTTAGTCCCTAGTGATTAGAATATACTATACAGCCTCACTGTCTCTTTCTCTGTCAAATAATCATTATCCATTTTCTCTTTAGGGTCTTTTTTTTGTTTTCAAGATAATACTAAACAAGGCAGTTAGTTACCCGTTTTTGGAAGGAAGCAGTAAGGACTCTTAACTTTTCATCATAATTTTCCTTTAACAATTTATATGACTGGTAACAATTTTTATATAAGTAGTTCTGTAAAAGGAAAAGCATAAAAGAAATGGAAATGAAACTCTTTGAGAGAGTTTAATCAACATTTTCTCTTGTGGCATGTTTTCTACGGTTGTTGGTTGTCTTAGTCTGTTTGTGCTGCTATAACAGAATACCACAGAAATTTATTTTTCATACTTCTGGGGACTGGGAAGTCCAAAGCACTGGCAGATTCTCTGTCTGGTGAGTGGGGGTCCATTTCCTGGTTGAAGGCACCTTGTAGTTGCATCTCACATGGTGGAACAGACGAAGGACTCCCATGGGCATATTTTATAAGAGCACCCAATCCCAAAGACTCCACCTTCCAAAGACCCACCACCACTAATACTCTTACCTTGGGAGACCACACCCGGCTAATTTTTATATTTTTAGTAGAGATGGGGTTTCACCATATTGGCCAGGCTGGTCTTGAAATCCTCACCTTGTGATCCACCCACCTCTGCCTCCTAGAGTGCTAGGATTACAGACATGAGCCACCACCAGTCTAGCCAGGAGTTAAGATTTCTAAGGGGAACCAAACATTCAGACCATAGCACTGATTAACACCATTGACAGAGCATGATTGTTTTCTCTTTTGGTTAATCTGAATTAGTATAGTTTGTCTATGACTAAAGTCTTTTCTACATTTATAGTTCATGTAATTGTGTTTTTGTGGTTTTCCAACTTCTGATAAATAGATACGAAATACAGTTATATTTATCTTAATGTGCATTTGATTACTAGTGAGATGCTTAAACTCACTAGTAATCAAAAAAATGCACCATTTTACATTAGCAGTATATGAGGATTCTGATTTCTCTGCATCCCTACTGTCACTTGTTATTGTATATCTTTTTGATTACAGCCATCCTAGGTAGTGTGAAGTGGTATCTCATTCTAGTTTCCATTTGCATTACCCTAGTGGCTAATAATATTGAGCATCTTTTCATGTGCTCATTGGCCATTTTTATATATTGTTTGAAAAAAATACCTATTCAGATCCTTTGCTCATTTATTTATCTGTTTATTTTTCTTTGAGTTGTAAGAATTTTTAAATAATTGGATACTAGTCCCTTATCTGGTATGTGATTTGCATATATTTTCTCCCATTCTGTGGGCTTTCTTTTAACTTCGTAAGGTGTTGTTTATAGCACAGAAGTTTTATATTTTGATGAAGTCCAATTTATTTATTTATGTTGTCACTTATCTTTTTGGTGTATTAGGAAAGCTTTGCCTAACCCAAGGTGACAAAGATTTACTCTCATGCTTTCTTCTGTAAGTTTTATAGTTTTAGTTTTTACATTGTATGTGATCCACTTTGAGTTAATTTTTTTATATGTTTAAGGAAGGGGTACGCCTTCATTCTTTTGCATGTAGAGATTGTAGTTATCCTAGCCCCATTTACTTAAAAGACTATTTTTTGCCCATTGAATTTTCTTGACACTCTTGTCAAAAATCAGTTAACCATAATGGTGGTGGCTTATCTTCGTTTATAGTATTTGTCATATGGAAATTTAAAATTCTAATGTAATCAAATTAATTAACTTTGTGCCTTATGATTTGTATATTTTGTATCTTCTTTAAGAAATAGTTTATCTTAGGCCAGGCGCAGTGGCTCACACCTATAATCCCAGCATTTTGGGAGGCCAACGTGAGCGGATCACCTGAGGTCAGGAGTTCAAGACCAGCCTGGCCAACATGGCGAAACCCCGTCTCTACTAAAAATACAAAAATTATCTGGGCATGATGGCAGGCGCCTATAATACCAGCTACATGGGAGACTGAGGCTGGAGAATCACTTGAACCGAGGAGGTGGAGGTTTCAGTGAGCTGAGATCACGCCATTGCACTCCAGCCTGTGTGAAAAAAGTGGAACTTTATCTCAAAAAAAAAAAAAAAAAAAAAAAGAAATACTTTATCTTAACTCATAAAGATATTTTCTCATATTTTAAGACTCTTAAAACTTTTTGCACATTTATTAGACTTCCTCTGTTAATGTGAAACTCTGAAATTCATTTAAAATTTTACCAGAACCTTCCAGTCTGGGAACAGATACAGATATACCAATGGATATTGACAATAATGACATAAATAGTGATAGTAGTCGGGGCTTGGATGACACAGAAGAGCCATCTCCCCCGGAAGACAAGATGTTCTTCCTGGATCCATCTGATCTTGATGTGGAAAGAGATGAAGAAGCCATTAAAACAATCAGGTAACATATATACATATTACAAGCTACTTCCAGTTGCAAGGTCAGTTCAGGATCTCATTAAGAAAAAGCCATGTCTCTTTAAGTGGGACCTTAAAAATAATTTAAAATCTAAATAAATTGTGGCTAATTCGTTTACATGCAGTGTAGTATTTCTGAAATAAATTATATCACCCTTGCCATCCACTCAAGATGGGAAGGTATGAGAATCCTTGTTGTTTTGTTTTTTTTTTTGTTTTGTTTTGTTTTTAAAGAAAAATGCTCTTTTAAAGTATGGTCTACATTTAAAACCTAGTTGTGGAACAGCCACTGCAAGGTGTCAGTATTGAACTTTCAGTTAAAGCAACCCATTTTTCACACAGACAGCTTTAACTGATAGGAGAAACAGCAATAAAGAATATATTTATGAAAATGTTGCACAAAAATAGTGATGATGAAGAGGGCAGTTTTCATAATGCCACAGTTAATCCAAGTATTAGCATTTTGTAAAAATGTTAGACTACAAAACCATTCTAAATATGCTACTCTGTTCATAGAAATTCAATTTTTTGTAGCCTAGAGGATATACTACCTTGCAGCAAAATATCCCCATTTTGGCAGGTTTTGTTTTTCACTGGAAAAAAGAGTTACTTAAAGAAAATGAGTCATTTATCAATCTCAGATGGCTCAGTTATCACTTATTCTGATTGGCTTATCATCAAATAACAGTTCTTACTATGATTAGCATTATTAACAAAAATTTTGTCTACCCATTTTGGAGACTGTTGCAGAACCTAGCTAGTTTACTTCATAGTTTAAAAGTATTTAACTGTTTGAGGCTCAAATTTCAAAACAGTGTATTTTATACATATACTCCAAACTGTAGTTACTGAGCCATGTTGCACTGCTACCTAATTTGACTCATTACATTTCTTAGTGTCTGTAAATCATTTTCCTTTAAATATCTTCTAATAGAAATACATTTTGCTAACAACATGATTAACTGGATTTGACATTTGAGTTACATATACTTGCGTTTTGCCTTGTTATGGATTTGCTAGTCTGTCATGCTGTCCAGGGCAGGAAAACTTCAACAGCAAACCCAAATGAGACCCTCTCCTGGGCTCCAAATATTCCAGTTTGGAAGGGTCCTTTCTGCTCTGCTTATTGTTTTTAATTTTTTTGTGTTACCCTTCAGAAAACATTCATGACAAGTAAAGAGGATTTACGGTATTATCTTAAAACAGAATCAATTATGTATTCTCATACAGGATTAATTTTTCTTCTTAAGCCATTGTTTATTTTACTAAGAGATTTTGAAAAAATTTAGCTCAATTATCTTTAAAAAGCCTTCATGTTTCTACAATATTTATATGATTTTTAAAACTCTACACATATATTTATAAATTTTAAATATTTTGTAGTCCATCAACAAGCAATAATATTCCGCTAATGAGGGTTGTACAATCCATCAAGCACACAAAGAGGAAGAGCAGCACAATGGTGAAGGAAGGGTGGATGGTCCATTACACCAGCAGGGATAACCTGGTCAGTAATCACATACATTTCAATATGTTAATAAGACTTTGTTATGAATTTTATTTTGTACATTTTTTAAATCAAAATTATGAAATATATATTAAGACATTATATACACTGCAGCAGTTTATAGAAGATGCACTGGAATTATAGTTAAATTTGTAAGGAATTTTTAAAAGGCAGAATATTTAATGTATTTACAAACTGGTAGAGCAGTCGATACTCAAAAAGGATCTGGGATTGTTCCACAATAAAATATAATTAACTCAAAACACAGTGGAGCCACAAATAAAAATAAAAGGAATTAACACTTCATCTAAAAAGTCATCTTATTACCAAAGATAGGAAGGAAGCGTGTTTGTTTTTCTGTAGACTTTAACTTAATGTAAATATGCAGGTTGCTTTTTAGATCCAGCAAAGATGAGTAATGATGAAATTTTAGTAGAAAGAAAATAGATTTAAAGAATCAGCATAGTGTAATAGCTAAGAACGTAGTCTTTGGAGCTAGACTGCCTAAATCTCTGTAACTTGCTATAACACTGTATGAACTTGGGAAAGTTACTTAGTTTCTTTATGCTTTAGTTTCCTTGTTTGAAACTGGCTTAATGTAACCACCTAATAAATCCAAATCAGTTGAAGATCTTGGAACAGTGTTTGGCATACAGTAAGGCACTCAATAAATGTTAGTAGCCACTATTGTATTTTTTAAATTTGCTGAATAGATTATTGAAACAAGCTTTCTAATAAACCTTTTAAGAATAAAACGAAGTACCCATTTTTTAAAATTTGCTTAACAGATTATTGAAACAAGCTTTCTAATAAACCTTTTAAGAATAAAATGAAGTACCCAATACATTTAGGTGGCCTAAAGTTTTATATGATGATAACAGTATAGACTGCAGTGTGTATGTGTTTTCTTTTATTTATAGTTCATATCCTTGCAAATGTAACTTGAAGTGATGTGCCTACAGTTGGGAATTTAATGGTGTATGAAAGGTGCTGTTACATCAGATTAACAGAGGGAAAGATAGGTAATTCAGCAAATGGTGTTGGGATAATCATGTAGCCATTTTGAAAAAAATAAAGTTTTATATATACCCCATACTTTACACATAATAAATCTAAATATATCAAAGATATGAATGGAAGAAATTAAACAGTAGAAGAAACTTTGTGAGAATTATATGTTTAATAATAAAGAATAAAAGGTCAATAAATTCAATCTCACTTAAAAAAAATTATACGTGGCAAAATCCAAAAGCAAAGACAAATGAGAAACTGGGAAAAATATTTTCAGCTCATTCTAAATAATGGTTAATTCCATATGATGTGAAGAATGCCAACAAATTGATAAGAGAAAGACCATAACACAATAGGAAAATGGACAAAGAATATGAACAGAGAGTTTCTCAGGAAATAGACTCTTACACATAAGAGCTTGATTTCATTTATAGTAAAATAAACGTTACTTTAACCTTTCACTGAAATGCCAGTTTTTATTTTTTCAATATAGCAAAGATCAAAAAGTTAAAAAACATACTGCATTAGTGAGAGTGTGAGTAAATAGGAATTCTCTTACGTTGCTGATGAGACTATAAATTGGATCAAGACTTGTGTAGAATGATATAACACTATCAGGCAAAATTACATGTGTACATGTCTGTTGACCCATCCTAATGATCTGCTACTGGCTTAGCAAATCAACTTCTAGAAATTTAGCCTATAAGTAAATTACATATTTTTATGTGTGTGTATATGTGTGCATGTATAAAATTCTCTAAAAGGATTCCCAGAAACTTAATAACATTCTTTGCCTGGAGTAAGGGTGAAAAGTAGGGATGAGTGATGGTGGGAGTGATACTTTTCACCATACTGCCTTTTAATATTTTGAGAATTTTGAACCTTATGACTCTTAAACTTATTCACAAATACAAATTTATGAATGTAAGTGAAAGGAAAAGTTTAGGTACAAGTACTTTGGAGAAACCATTTTTGAACTCAGAGTTTTTTCATCTTTATAGAGAAAGAGGCATTATTGGAGACTTGACAGCAAATGTCTAACATTATTTCAGAATGAATCTGGATCAAAGTATTATAAGGTAAGGATATTACATTTTAAAAATATAAGCATTAAGATAGTGGGTTTTTTTCAGATAATCGTTAACTGTCATATTTGAAGATATATATAATGACTAGCTAGTATGGTTTATAGAAGTCACTGTTAGGTTCCTTGTTGAAGCAACTGTTTCCTATACCCCATTTCACTGCCCACAGCACCTCTGCTACCAGACTGTTTGTTGTTGTGCATTTATTTATTTCTGGCTTGCCTGTCAGGTTGCAGCTGCTTTCCTTCTGGATACTATGATTTAGATTAGACTGCTTAGAAATTCCCATCATCATTGCCTGTCCAGAAGAGGTCAGTTAGGTGTTTAGTATTTCTCCCACCTTCTACCTTGCCTTGGGTTCCAATTCCCAATTGCTTGTTTTGACTCTTAATCTCCTTTTTACAGTCGTCTTTGCTTAGCCTGACTCCATGTTTTGCCACATCACAAAACTGATAGCAAGCAAGATTATAACGAAGCAGTTAGGTCAGTAAGAGAGAATGGGAACTAATGGCTTGCTTTGAGCAGGTATTTTGTTTTTTTTTTTTAAGTAAGTTTTTTTGCCTTAGGAAGTGGACTAAAAACATAATGATTGTTACAGTTAATTCCAATGGACAGAACCAGAATGGAGTAGCTTAAACAACTGACCAAGATTCTGCTTTCTCTGTTATTATTTCTGCTTCTTACTTGCTTTGGGCTGTATCTTGTAGACTACTGTGAAGTTGAATGAATGATGGTTGGAAGTTATAAGTGTTGGATACAGTGGCAGATTACCCTCCTAAATCTTCTCCTTCCTTGCATCCTAATGATCTGCTACTGGCCTAGTTATCATAGCCCATGCCCTGCCTATGGCATTGCTGGGTGTTGCAGTTCATTCAAGACAGGCCATGTCATAAGACTCGACTGTGTGTTATGTGCCACATACTTGTGTCCTTAATGGCATTTGTTGAAATGCATATCTTTGGTTCTTTAGTGTATTTAAAAATAAAAACAAAGATGTATTCATATTTTCCAATGCTTAATTTTTTACTTCAGGAAATTCCACTTTCAGAAATTCTTCGCATATCTTCACCACGAGATTTCACAAACATTTCACAAGGCAGCAATCCACACTGTTTTGAAATCATCACTGATACTATGGTATACTTCGTTGGTGAGAACAATGGGGATAGCTCTCATAATCCTGTTCTTGCCGCCACTGGAGTTGGACTTGATGTAGCACAGAGCTGGGAAAAAGCAATTCGCCAAGCCCTCATGCCTGTTACTCCTCAAGCAAGTGTTTGCACTTCTCCAGGGCAAGGGAAAGATCACAGTAAGCAATAAACTTCTTGATGGCTTTTTCTCCTCTTTAGTTCTCTTAAGCATTTTGTGGGTATGGTTTTGTTCCTTTGTTCATCTTAAGCTTTGTCTTTAGTAACCAATACCATTAGTTAATTATTTTATAAAATTATATTGGTTGGCCAGGCGTGCCTGTAATTCCAGCACTTTGGGAGACTGAGGCGGGCAGACTACAAGGTCAGGAAGTCGAGACCAGCCTGGCCGATATGGTGAAACCCTGTCTCTACTTAAAAATACAGAAATTAGCCAGACATGGTAGTGCACGCCTGTAGACATGGCAGCTACTTGGGAGGCTGAGGCAGAAGAATCGCTTGAACCCAGGAGGCGGAGGTTGTAGCACTCCAGCCTGGGGGACAGAGAGAGATTCCATCTCAAAAAAAAAAAAAAAATTATATTGGTTATAGTATATATACATACATACAATGCCCAGTGCTAGGCTCCAGAGTAAGTTTTCCTACATGAAAATCCTGGCTATACCATCTGTTATATGATCTTAGGCAAGTACTTCATAGGGTTGTCAGTATTAAATGAAAGAGAACCTGTAAGATACAGAACAGTGCTTGGCATCCATAAAGTCTCATTGGATTATGTGTACTACTAGTATTAATATTTTGCTTCATAGTGGGATAGAAACAAGCAGTAAAGTGTTACGGTTCACATCACACTCATGAAATCTGTTAAGTTAGAAATAACTGTATTAAAACATACAGAAATATTTAAAAATCATTGAAACATGTTTTGCACCAACAAAATTTATATAATTAAATCTAAATTGGATAAAGTTTCAAAAGTAAACAGTTAACAATTAAAAGGTCATTATAATGCCGCTTCTCCCCCATTTACATTGTGTTGCTTATGGGGACACATAACTCATTCATATGAGAAATATACTCAAGTAAGTATCAACAACTTTCCAAATATAATTTATTTTAGTTTAGCTATATTTTGTACAACTGTTACGTAGGTCCTGAGCTAAAATATACAATACATAGAGAAATCACAAAAGCTCTTTAAGGAGAGACAGGATGGTATATAAAGGTGTTAGATGGTGCCATAAAGCAGTAGAGTGCAAAAGTGAGGAATACATTACTTTAAAAACTCATAGACAGACAGGAAGAGCAAACAAGACTTCATAGTAGAAGAACCTGATTTGGACCTCAGGTAGGAATACAATAGGCAGAGCTCAATGGGAGCAGCGGAGGGGTAACATGTAGTTGAGACGAGTGTACTGAGGATTGTGACTGTGTACATGTTTGGTGTTCAGTACTGATTTTGCGTTGGGATGGGTGTAGGTAGGTGGGTGTTTCATAGTGGTTCTTAAGTTTTGGAGGTTTTTAGATGGAACTCTGTGTCATTCTAATTAAAGCTAGGACTGTTTCCTTAGAAAACAATACAGGCACTTAACACACACTTTTTAAAAGATAAATGAGGTGATTTATTTCAGGTGATAAATGTATTAACCAAAAAAGCAACATTATAAAATTATAAAAAGGCAAGCAATTTAGAACTGCATAAAAACTCTTTGTTGCCCATCCCCACCTCTTCCACTCACCAGAAGTAATCATAGATTTATTTTTGTTTTTAACTTAAGTACTGCTACCCTGCAATTCCCTTGACCCTGTTTTTTTTTTTTCCCCAATAGACTGGGTCTTGCTATGTCACCCAGGTGAGAGTGCAGTGTACAAATCAGAGCTCGCTGCAACCTCAAACTCCAGGGCTCAGGGATCCTTCTGGCTCAGCCTCCTGAGTAGCTAGGAGTACAGGTGCACACCACTATGCCTGGCTAATTTTTAAATTTTTTGTAGAGACAGGGTGTCATGTAGCCCAGGTGGTCTCAAACTCCTGGGCTCAAGTGATCCTCTGCCTCAGCCACTGGGATTACAGTGCAACTTCCCTTTTTAACTCAGTAATATCATGACTAGCTTTCTGACTTTCTGATTATTTACAGTCCTACATCATCAATTAAATGTTTAGATAGTATTCTTTTGTATGGATGTATCATATTTTATTTAACTAGTTTCCTGTTGATGGGTTGTATGTGTTGATTTTTTTCATGTACATAATTGTATTAACTGTGTGCTAACCTGTTTTTTAAGTTTAATATACCATAAGCATTCACATGTCAGTAAAGATTAATATTATTGTCATATACTAAATTTTATCCTTTTCTCAAATATCTTTTTTATATTTTACAGAAGATTTGTCTACGAGTATCTCTGTATCTAACTGTCAGATCCAGGAGAATGTGGTAAGTAATCGTTATAACTAATGTGTATACTGGGTAATTAAAATAAGGAAAAAGTGAAAATCTTTATTAGAGAAATTGATTCATCACCCAAAGTATGAGACTAGACTTTGTGGTTGATAACTTCCCTAAGGAGTTCTACTTTATAGAGGAAACTGAGGCAGATTTTTTTACATTAAAAAAATAATAAAGCTAACTTTTTCACTAGAAAAAGTGACATTAGAAGATTACAAAGCAGTAAGTCTGGCTCAAAGAGAAGGCAGCCATTACTTCTTGTGCTGTCAGCAGGGGAAGCGTCCTGAAGGAAGTGCAGTTTGAGCTGTGCCTGAAATGATGGAATGGATTTTTGGAAGTGCTGAGGGGATGATGGTCAGGGAACGACCTTTAATGTAAATACATGGAGCACCAGGATGAACAAATAGGGAAGCAGGAAATGAACTTGTAAGGAATGGTGAATAAATTATGTTTGGCCAGTGTATATAGGTATGTTTAGGGTTTTATAACAGGTCAGCAACTTTTTCCATAAGCTTTTTGCAAATACCTTAGGCTTTGCAGATCAGAGGTCCCCAACCTTTTTGGCACCAGGGACTGGTTTTGTGGAAGACAATTTTTTCCGCAGAGGTGGGGGATTGGGAGATGGTTTCAGAATGAAACTGTTCCACATCAAATCATTAGATTTTCTTCAGGAACGCACAACCTAGATCCCTCACATGCACAGTTCACAGTAGGGTTTGTGCTCCTCCGAGAATCTAACGCCTCTGCTGATACGGCAGGAGGCAGAGCTTGGGCGGTAATGCCTGCTCTCCTGCTGCTCACCTCCTGCTGTACAGCCCGGTTCCTAACTGGCCACAAACCGTTAACAGTCCATGGCCTGGGGCTTGGGGGCCCTGTTGTAGACCATATACAACTATGCAACTCTGTGGTTGTGGCAAGAAAGCAGCCATAGGCAGTATATAAGTGAATGGGCATGACTGTGTTCCAACAAAACTTTATTTATGGACCCTGAAATTTAAATTCCATTTAATATTTACATGTCATAGAATATTATTTTTATTTGTCCAGTCATTTAAAGACCATTTTTAGATCAGGGACCATACAAAAAGAGGCAGCAGGCTGTATTTTGCCCACAAGCCAGAGTTTGCCAACCCCTGGACTAGAAGGAAAACAGGCTAGAAATGGAAGTCAGAAAATTTTTAATTGTTATATATACTTTATCAGATTAAAATCTTTCTTTTCTACTTGGGACACTCAGCTGTTATAGTTCTCTAACATATAAATGTTTAAGATTTCTAAGATTGCAATGAAGATTGGACTCTAGTAGTATTATTGGAGATAGACAATTTCAGAGATATAATCTGTGAATCTCTTGTCCTGGTGGGCGGTGGAATATATACCATAATCAAAAAACAGAAGAGCACAAATTTTGAATGATTCCATGGGAACTGAAGATATCCATCCATGTCTTAGGGGGAAAAGGATTCAGAATTGGCTTTTGTTTAAAATATATATAAATACACATACATACATAAAAACACTATCCTAATAGTTATTATATATACATTGGATGCCTCCTAATCTAATTAGAACCAAAGTTTGATTGGTTAAACAAAAAGTTTATTAAAGTTGAGAGGCTTATAAAAATGGTTCTTACAAACCGTAAAATTTTAATTATAACTTAACACATATACATGCGTATTCACTGGCTTTTGTTGCAGGGCTGAGGCTTTGTCTTATTGTAAGTGTGGGTCCGCTAAGCAAAGTTCCACTTTTTCTTTCATCAGTCACAACTGTAATGCAATTTTGACACTAAACATCCCATATTGGTATATTAGCTCTGTTAGTTCTGACAGCAGCAAATACTGCAAAAAAGAAAAAAATGGAAGAGGGGGAAGAGCAGTGAGGAAAGATGGAGTGGATTTGAGTTACAGACTTTCTCTCTGATGTATTCATCAGTCTCTCAAAGTCAGGCTAATCCCAGTCATATGAACTTTTGAATTTTTCTTTCAAAAATGAAAAGAGCAAATCTTTTTAAAGGTAAAATAGGCAAAACTTCATTTCTAATTTTTTTTAGGTAAATTTACTTTTATAAATCACTACTTAATAAATAGAAGATTTTTTAAATTCAAAGCATTTTTTTTCCTGAAAGTCTTATACATTATACTTGCACATTAATAGCCATAGTATAAAATTTGGGCTTAACCCCTTATAGAACATAGAAAGCGTATGTTTTCATAAAATAGTTTGCACTTATTGAAAATTAATTGCTTCCAACATAAACAATAATGTATTTAAGTATTTGAAGAAAGCGATGCTGACATTGTTTTATAGAAATAAATAATACTAACTGCTGACTTTATCCTACCAGGATATCAGTACTGTTTACCAGATCTTTGCAGATGAGGTGCTTGGTTCAGGCCAGTTTGGCATTGTTTATGGAGGTAAGCAAGTATAGCCGTTTGCATATTGTACATATTATTTTAAAAACTGGAAAATTTAAAACATCTGCCAGCTATTTTGTCATCTCACAGTTTTGTCCAGTGGCCTTTTTTTCAAAGCCTGACTTGTATCTTTCAGCTAAATCCTTCTCACTGTAATTTGAGTACTCATTCCTTAATTTCATTGCAAACTTTAAAAAGTAACAAAGAATCAGAAAATTTTACAATAGTTTTTATCTCTTCTTGTAGCTCACACATACAGATGTTTATCAGAGGCAGCGGGGAGATGGTTTGAAGTTATGTTGGCCTGGGTGGGCTTATTCATTGAAGTATATTCCCTACTAGTTTTCCAACACAAATGGCACCATTTGTCTACTCTTGGCATGATTGTTCTATCAAATCTGAAAACCTGAACCCATAATCCAACTCTATGATTTAGGATATTGATGAAATCATTTAACCTTACTATGCCTTAAAATCTTCAGCTGTTTAATGGAGCTAATAAAACCTGACCTATATAGCTTATGGGGCTTAAGTATTAATTAAACCTAATATATGTAAATTTATTAAGGTACAAAAGAAATGTTAAACTCTTGTTATCCCTTGCTAAGGCTTGGTACAGTAGTTTCCTAGTTGGCTGTTCTGCTTCCCATCTTGCCTTCTTTTCATACAACTCTTGGAGTGAATCTTACAGAATAGGTGTAACTAGTTAATTTGAATTAATAAATAGGGGAATGGCTATTTATTATAATAGACTTCTACCTTATAAATTTTTATATCTAGATTCTAGAACATAGAGACACCCAGAGTTTATGAGTACATGGTTAAATCACTCTGTGCTGAATCATTGGATCTAGAATAAAATTGATTCATTCATACAATATTTGCATCTTGACAGAGTCTCTGAAGGACTAGGTCTGGGTACTTAACTACCATTTATTTAACAAAGTAGATTACTTTTCAGCAACAAGTTCGTTCAGTTTTCTCCTGCTTAGATAATGCAACTGACTTTATTAGGGGCAAATATTATGTATGGAAGGGAAAACAATTTTTTCTTAAAGGTGAGTGGAGTATTGAGAAAGAACAAAAATGAGTCAAAAAGAAAATTCAAGAGTAAATACATACGAATTTCAGTCTGTGGACAACTCCCTAATAAAGCAGTCAGTTTGCTTCATTCTTTCTATTCTTTTTTTCTTAATAGGAAAACATAGAAAGACTGGGAGGGATGTGGCTATTAAAGTAATTGATAAGATGAGATTCCCCACAAAACAAGAAAGTCAACTCCGTAATGAAGTGGCTATTTTACAGGTAAAAAAAAAAAAAAATGGTTTATTAAAGAGGTTGGTAAGAATCTGAATTAACTGCTTCTCTCTTTTTTTTTTTTTTAAGAAGGCAAAATTAGATTATGGTAATATAGGTATTATAGGGACTGCCAATATCTTGCTTTATGGTAGTAGTTTTAGAACACATTTTTGTAAGTAAAATCTTTTTTAAAAAAGTAAAATTTCATTCTTAATTCATCATTCCAGGAGCTCAAAATACTTTGAATACTTTGCCACATTTTGTTAAGAAGTCATTGTTAAACCCATCCAGTTTTCATGGGAGACATGCTTGATTATCATAGCAATTACTGTGCAAATAAAGATTGCTTAAAAATTATGTACCTTTTAACAGCATTTATTTCATTAATTAAAAACTATTTAATTTTATAATGGCTTAGTCAGTTGGGGCATATTTTAAAGATACATTGGCAATTATTTCAATTCCATAAATTGCTATGTGTTTTTTTATCTAGCATTTTTACCCCTTTGGGGGGGTCATCTAGAAGACTAAAATTTAACTTGATCCTTGGATCATTTTCTGAATATTATATAAATAATTTATAATATGCAAATATCTGTTTGTTGTATAGCTTTTGCATATTATTAAATAAATCATGGTCCTAGAATAGTTAATGTTGGCTGGGCACAGTTGCGCATGCCTGTAATCCCAGCACTTTGGGAGGCCGAGGAAGGTGGATCACCTGGGGTCAGGAGTTCGAGACCAGCCTGACCAACATGGTGAAACCCCATCTTTACTAAATACAAAAAAATTAGCTGGGCATGGTGGCGCATGCCTGTAATCTGAGCTACTTGGGAGGCTGAGACAGGAGAATCGCTTGTACCTGAGAGGTGGAGGTTGCAGTGAGCCGAGATCGTGCCATTGCACTCCAGCCTGGGCAACAAGAGTGAAACTGTCTCCAGAAAAAAAAAAAATGGTTAATGCTGTCAGAGCCCCATTTGCTTTGGGTGAAATTCAGGAAGACACAGCCTCCTTCTGAACTTGAGTTTCCTTGAAGAAGGTAAGAAACTTAAATGATTTGTTTTACATTTATTATGTTACTGGTTACTAGTAGTAATATTTGCCTCACTTTTTCAGAGGCATGATAATCAAAAAGCTTGTGGTCAGTTAGGTACTTGGTGGTCACATCAAGGCTGTCTCCTCCTATAAAGCTACCTTTAAACAGAATATTAATAGTATTCATACTATGTTGAATATGAAGAGTATGAATATGTTGTCAGGTATTTTTGCATATCTGATTTTGGAATCTTCATTGACCAATTAGTGTGCAAAACAATAAAAATTAAGGATATATTTCTATGGATTGATTTCTCCTTGATCACAAACACAGCTCTAAATAAGCACTGAAGCTTTTTTCCTCTGTTATCAGCTTTGAATCATAATAACTAAATTTAGGAATAACCAGCTAATGCACAGTGTGAAAAACTTCATTATTATATCATTTTGGTTATTTTTATCAATATTGCCCAAACTGGGAATAGATTGTAGGATATCCCTAAGTATGCTATTTCATACTAAATTTAATACAAGACTGTCTTTGTTATAGATTCTCTTCAAATTGTTTATGTAAGTTATTTATACTTTTATATTTGGCTTTCTTTGTGTCGGCATTTATACTTAAGTACAGGAAGGCAGAGTTTGAGTGTACGTCTGTCTCCAAACCACATGTACTTTCTACTTTACATCATTGGACCGACCCACTGTGTGTGTGTGTGTGTGTGTGTGTGTGTGTGTGTGTGTGTGTGTGT